TTTTTTTTTCTGTTGACCTACCACAGAGGAATGAGCTTTTTTTCCTTGGATATTTTCAATCTTTATATATTTTTTAAATGTTAAGTTTATTTTTATTGTTTCCAGTGATATAGTGGAGATGTTCTGGAAGTGTTTAGGGAAACGTTTCTTTTCCAAATTCACAAATCCGTGGGTCTCTGAGTCTAAGACTCAACTTAGACACCTGACTTGAGGCTTAAATTGAATTCCAAATACAAAATACAGATCTCTACAAATTTTAGCAATATATTTTTATTATTTTATTTATTTTTTTGAAGAATAATATTATCATTATTTTAATTATTTTTGTTGCTAAAATTATTATGAACAAAGGAACATTATTTCATTAAATATTAAACATTTTATTATTTTTAATTACATTTAATTTAATAAAATCGTATAATATTAGATTTTTTATTTTTATTTTAGTATTATGACTGTTGTTGTTAAGTAATTCTAAGAACAAATGAAAAAAAAAATATTAATGTTACAGCAGGCCATCCTTTTTGAGCCCTAACATTTATTAAATTGATTGTTCTTTAACAAGGTTTATAAAACTAACCTGTAGTTTAGAGAAGCCTCTGCTAGACTCTTCTTCAGAGACCTGAAGAAGAACTCAAACTGTACTTGAAAACTTTTGTCTTGAGGCTTGGTTTGGACTTTAAATTGAACAACATAATAAAAATGTAATGTTTGTCGGCTAGGTTTATTAACCGAACTTGTATTGTATATGAGAATAGAGACATGTGAATATGCAAAATTGCTTACCCTTCAAAAAGGTTTACAAAACCAACCAGTAGTAGAAACCTGTTCTAAAAAGATATTCGAGACTCGACTTGCACTTCACCTCAAAGACTTGAAACTCGACTTGGACGTCAGAGACTTTAGAAGATGTTTGCTGCATGGTGCCTGTGCACTGCAAGGTATATTATATGTCAGGATAAGTCTTAAAGAGACTTTGAAGCCTGTCTTATAGCGCTGTCTTGGCAGCGTGGCTGGATCTCATAATTTTTGTTTGATTAAAAGCACACGGGAGTTTGTAGCACACGGTAGGTGCAAGAGAAGGGCTGACAGCTT